CAGGAGCTGGTGAAGAAGCACATTGGAAGATGATGGCATGGATTGACTGTTGGAGGGTGTTGGAGATGTAGATTCAGGCAGGGAAGTCTCCTGCTCAGCCAGTGACACAGTACAATTCTTGTCCAACATGGTCCCTCTGATAATGCAGATTTGATGTCCCCAGTGAGTAAGCCTTCAAGATCCTGTTGCAGATTGGGTATTGAAAGTGGTTTCATGACATACAGTTGATAAATGCCGAAGGTGTTGGGCTGCATACACCATGGCTGTAATGAAAGCATGGATTTGGTTGACTGGACCACCTGACACAAGGATGTGTCAGGTGGTTGTGCCAAGCTGAGATTGACCTGAGATAGTGGGGAAGGGGTGAGGGGCATGGCCAGAGTACTTCCAGGGAGTCTTGCTGAGCTCTCTGGGAGCTCATCCCAAAATCATGCAGGAAGTTGGCTACAATTGATCTGCCTGGACTGTGTCAGGTCCACAGGCATGGGCTAGTTGAGCAGTGGAACAGGAAGGTTGGCAATTGGGACATAGTGCCAATGGGCAGCTTCAGGAAGAGGAGTGGTAGCTGATTCATCATGCAAAGGAAGTAAAGGGGTAGGTGGACTGCTTATTCCTTCAAGTACCTATCAATATGGTGTTGTGTCAGGTGCAGCCACCTGACACAAGTTGTCCAACATACTGTGTCTGGATGGGAGGGACCATCCTGCAGAGAAGAGGACTCTGGCATGGTGCTGCAATGGAGTCTGGCTTTTTTTCTAGCCTGGTGGGCAGCCAATTTGAGAGCGTATCCATTGGCCCCCTCCTGATCTTCAGCAACCTGAAGATAATAGGCAAAACACTTGTGTTGATGGACCAAAAGCTTTCCTCTCTCAGAAAATGATGATCCACAGGTGCAACAATATCCAAACATGATGGGTAGGGCCAGTAGATGAGATGACATGGGGGCCCCAATGCATTGACTGATTGGTCTGGGAGTCGAGCATCAGGGAAGGTCAGCTTGATTAGTCATATCAGTGGCACACATGTGGAGGGTGTGGAGGCAATTGCAGGTGGCATGGCACCCACAATTGACTGAGCCCTGGCTGGACAGGCTTGTGTCAGGTTATGATATCACCTGACACACATGATGGAGATGCATGCTATGGGTGATAAGGAAGTTTATGAGACATGCTGTGGCACCCTACAAATGGTGAGTGGGCCTGGTCATCCGCTGCCATTTCTTCTACCCACATTCCTCCATCAGGATGAGCTCCACCCTTGGAAGCCCAGTCAACTTCACAATGCCACCTTCTTTATCTGGTGTGCAGACCTTGTCATCTGCTGACAGCCTCCCTCCTCTGGGCTCTCCCCTGCCATCCTCACACTCTTCTCCCAACTGTTCTTCCCTGTTGGCATCTCCAATCAGGATCTTACAACAGCACATAGCCAAGCGCAAGAGCACAGGGAGGAGTTGGATGCAGCTGCCAAGCATGCCAAGCAACCCCCCTTTTGTTCCCAAGCACCTGACACAGCTGACCTGACACTCATAGAATGGAAGGCTGCACCTTTCGCAGCAGTGGGAAACATGTTGGCAGAGCACTCACACTGTTTGGTAATGTGGAGGAAATCCTAAGAGATGGGAGGGAATGGTTTGAAGTGGAGGATGTTGGGGAAATTGACAAAGATGAGTAAGTGGCCTGCCTCTGTCATGATGCCATGAGCTGAATGACTGATTGCCTGGTGGGCATAGAGTACAAGAAAACATCAGGATATATCATGATATGGTACTGGTAATTCCTGAGATTGAGGATGAGCTAGCATCATGCACACATGGGATGTTGACTGAGCTTGCAAGTTGGGTAGGTCTGGTGAGAGTTCACTTGGCACATTGCTGACTCCATGGGCAGATCAAAAGCAGCCAGGCCATTGGCTGCACTGACAACACCTTGACATGCAAGGATATAGCTATTGATATCCTGGCAGTTGTAGAAGGCTCTGCCATGGCTACAAAGGGACTAGATCATCAGCAGAAACTTGAGCAAGGGTACAATCATCCACTGACTGGCCAGTACATATGTCCTGTGGAGCTAGCAGCAGAGTGGGATGATCCTCAATTGACATAAGCCATCAATAAAAGTAGACTGGAAGGAGACTAATCAAGCTACATCAGGGTGCAAATGAATTAATAGATGCCCTGAAAATGCTTATGTGTTGTCTTTATGAAGGATGATGGCCCACCCTTGGCAAAGCTGACAACAAATGGCCTGCCAGGTTCACCTGACACAGGCATGAGCATTTGCCCATCAGGGTCACCAAGGATGGCTAGGAATGCCAGGGTTCACCCAATATGGACCCAGAGAAGTCATACTGACAATGTCTTACCAATGTCACCCAGAAAGGCAGAAGCTGACCTGGTTGTGTCAGGTGGGATCTGTCAAGGGCATGCTGACACCACCTGACACTAGATGCCCTGTCATGCCAGCTGCTGGGCCCTGATGCTCAGCTTCACAAAGCACAGTCTACATTGCCCTGAGGCCAGCAGTCTGATGGAACCTTATGTATTACATGCATTACACTAGTTGTGTACTTGATGCAGGGCCTACTCAGGCCTGACGAATGCCATGTCAGGTGGCAGGCCCTGATGAGCATGACAACCCTGATCAGGGCATGCCCATGCCTGGGCATATCCTTGCACAACTGTGGATGGAAGAGACAACACAGAAGAAGGTAGGTGTGACCAGCATGCTGAACTGTTTGAAAGAAGTGCAATGTGACCAGCACAATTGGGAGGGGAGAGAGGAGTTTGTGAGGCCAGTTGACCACTACAAATCTATCTTATAGCCTTGGGGGGAGGCTTTGGCTGCGGCATATTGGAACGACTTACAGTCCCAGGCTCAGTAATGCCTCACTGCCCTATGCACATTTGCCTATCGATGTGGCTGTGCAACTTGAATTATTAATGCAGTTTCAAGCATCCGGTGACATGCTGTTTGGTTGACCAATTTTTTCAGCCAAACCATGCCATGTTGAACTATTGGATGACATGCCAGATACCAAAAGTGGAAGCAATTTAAGGAGATCTCTATGATGATCACGTGCAGGAAGGGTGCCTTGTGCTTTTGCAGGGGGCAAATGCCGTCTCGGCATGTCTCGTGTCTTTGTGACGCGTTTTACGAGACAGGCGGCAAAGGGTGGCGAGACCGTCGGAGTTTTAAATCGGGCTCCGCGAAGGCCGGCACGAGCAGAGGCCGCGTTTTAGGGGTACGAAGGGGCGACAATGTCAGAGGGAAAAGATCGCCCCTTGTTATAGAGTACTGCGTCTCAGGGTTGAATACATGTTATCTTTCGGTGAACAATTCGCTTTGCATCCCACCAATATATATGCAAACATGGAAAAGGAAGAGAAATTGGTCCGTTCGTGATGATGGCAGAGTTCCGTCTTTTTCTCAGAATCAAAACCATTTACCGATGGCGAAGTCGTTCAAAGGCTTCTCTGTTGCATACTTCTCCCACTCAGCAACCTGGGCCCCAGTAACTTGCTTTGCTCTTTTCGCTTCGCTAACGACTTTTTCTTGTTCTTTTATCGAGTTGCTCAATTTCGATTTGTAGAGGGGATCCTTTTCTTTTCGATGAGCACGGGTAAGGATTGCGAGCTGCTTTTTTGCAGTAGCTTTGTCGATCGTGGTCTTCGCGTGTGCGTCCCTGGCTCTGCCCAAGTTCCATACTGATTCTTGGTGATGAGTGTCGTACGCCTTGTCTTTGGCTTCCGCAGCAAGTTGTTTTCTTTTCCTGGGGGTACTCCCTGCCTGTTCCGCATGCGAACTGGATGGATGGGCTCTGTTTTCGTGGCGTCTTTGGTAACCCAGACGCTCGCGCTCTGCGTCGAGAAAGTCTAGACGAGAGTTAATTGCTGCGTTCCTTAATCTATTGGTCGCGTCATTGGGATTTTCGTTATGGAGCGCAAGCTTTTTGTAGTTTTGATTGTTCGACCCAAAGCTGCTGGAAATCTTGCTGGCAAGTTTCTTCAAAGCCCCTTCCCGCACAACGAGTGCCTGGTCATCATACAGTTCGTCGACGATGCTTCTCTGCCTGTATGTCATGTCAATACTCGAGTCTCTTGCAACGACATAATGTGCGGTGAACGGGTGCTCACAAAGGATATTCCTCGCCAAAGGCTTGTCTACCGGAAAATTCTAGGATCGGATGGGCAAAGACTGAGAGCGATAAGATCGCCAAAAGAAGAACGGACGGAACGCGCATGGTGCTAAAGTTGTAATGTACAAGTATAGTCGCTAGATGAAGAGGCGAGACGGGCGGAAGGTAGATGTGACCAGCACGATGAACTGTTTGATGCCAGGGTGACCAGCACGACCGGTAGGTGGGAGAGGGGTTCGAGACTAACTGAGGAGAGCCATTTGAGCTAGGAATGTATCTTGTACCCTCGAGGCGAGGTGGTGAAGCCCCCGGGTGTGTTGGCTACGGTCACAGACTCAGTCATGCGCATGACTGTGCCCCATCGTCGCGGAGAACCTGCCGGTCAAACGTTGATGCGTTACGATCGTCGCCATGTGGCACAACCGGTTGCCCAAAAAACTTGCTTCCACTACGTTTACCGACCAGAGCTAGTTGAGCTGAGCGAAGAGGTAGGTAGGGAAGGAGATGGGCCTCAAACAGGTGCCATATACACATTCGAAACGCCTATGCATGCGGCTGTGCAACTTATATAATATTATTCATGTTTCAATATTGCATCCGACGCCCTGTTTGGTTGACCAATTCGTACAGCCAGACACCTTTCCACGCCCCACTGAGGGAACCATGCCATGCATATCGAACTATTCGCCACTCACACGAGTTCTCACGCTCAGAAGGCAAACGGAGACGCTACTTGATGCTACAGTAGTGGCATAAACTATTGCACGCGTCCCTGAGTGAAAGGGCTTACGATGCCCTTTTGCTCCCAATACATACACTAGATCAATGTATTACTAGCTAGTAGTAATACAACGTGAGTGTACTAAGAGAGAGAGAGAAAAGGGTGGCCTACAGCCACCCGCTACGTGTAAGTCCATTGGACGATCTGATCGCGCTAGAGGCGGTGTTACCGTATATGGTAAGTACGGGGATATCTACGTATCCCTTACACTAAGCGATTTCATATATATAGTTTACCATCGGAGATAATGCACATATACTCCAGGGAGCTAGTGCACTATATCCAAGACTGAAAGCGTTCTTCGAACAATAATTTTCATGTTATTGCACTTCTTGGCAATCATTTCCAAGAAAATAAACTCACTTTTGAATCTTGGTTTTTGGATCATTCTGTCACCTGAGTCAACCAGTTTCTAATCCTTTGAGGCCTGACTGTGCTGAAACTGTCCCTTCCCTCTTGCCTAGGTAAAGCATTTTCTAATGAAAGTCTCCCCACTTTTTTTGAAAGGGACTAATTCAGAAAGAAGTATGCGAAGCTCCAGCTTATTGTCCGGAGAGAGCTTTCAGTATTGGATATTGTGCAAGAGTTCACTGGAGTATGTGCATTACCTCCAACCGTAAGTTATATGTGAATTTGCTCAGGGACAGGGGCAATACTTTACGCTGCTACTGTATCTATAGACTAGGAGAAAACGGTACAAATAAGACAACGTGTGATGGTTTTGAGAGGAACTGACACAATAAATTAGCTGAGCACTGATACTGATGATTATATATGAGACGATCGACAAGAACTGTAGCTTGCGAGATGCACAGACGGATGTGGATGTTGTGGAGTACATAACTAATGGTGAATATATGCTGGAAACGAGAAAGCGTGGTGGAAAAGGAAACGCATGTTGGAAACGGGAAAGTATGAATAGGATGCTCTCGACCGATTCTAAAGAGTACATTAACAATGATTCCGTGGCTGAACTTCATGAGGAAGGATTGCCCAAAGCCGCAGAGGATGAGGGTATGACTCCGGGGGTGCCCTTGACACTGTTCAGCCACGTTGGAACAGAAACAGGGTGTGTGACGTAATCTTGACCATCGTGCAAACCGCAGAGCGGCGGGGTATCGTTATCCACGTCTTCATGTGGATCACACCGGCCGGGATCTCCATGATGGGATTCGCAAGAGCAAGCTTCTGACGCGCCATCGCTATTGAGATCTTCTATGACTTCGAAGTCATGAGCATCCTGCAACATATCCAACAACAACAAATTGGACGGATGAAGTTTTGCCATCTGCAGAGGGAGTGTAGGTGGACCTTCCGCAACGGCGTCAACATTGCAGTTTGGATTGAGCTCAACTCGTCGTTTCTTCCCGCCGTGATCGGCGCCCGAATCGGAAACCCGTTTCGCACCGGATGTTGATGATGGAAAACCGCCAGATCCCGGCTCGTCGAATGATGATCCTTCGTCGATGAAAGGATTGTCGAAGAAGCTTTCTTTCGAGGGCGGATTGGGGTCATCCGGGCCATCCAATACGGATTCTCCATCAGTATCAACTTCGTCGTCTCTGATGCGCTTGCATTTATCCAACCACGCATCCAGCACTTCGCATATCGAATTGTGACGTTGGATTTGTGAGGGTGAGAGGCGGTCCGCGTTCTGCAGGTATCGGGCCGATGCCGCCAAGCAGACCAAATATGGATGTGCATGATGGTAAAACGTCGGGAGAATGCCACCATTGGCATCTCGATACACTGATTGAGTATCAAGCCTATCTGGCTGGAGCAGTTTCGGAACGTAGATATCAAATTCGGAGTGATGGGCAGGTAGTCGGGTCGGGGGGTGCTTCCGAATGACGATAGGACGGACCAAGTCCGGAAACGTGGCTATTTCATATGCAAACCACTTGGCCTGGATGGTGCTGTCCTCGGAATTGAAAAACTGTGAGATGGTAAACATCAGGAGAAGATCACAGAACACGACACAGCCAGCCGCACGTACATCATGGTATTCAGGTTGTTCGTGAGTCTCGATGTAGGATTTCAAATGGTCGATAGTCGATTGCGCAGGAACGAAAGTCCATTGAAGCCTGTCAAACGCGCCATGGAGGCTGGCATCCACTGTCAATTCGTGAGCATACATCTGCGTGCAAGCGGATGGGTCAATTACTTGATATCAAATTCCGCCTGGAATGTACATTCATGAACAGGCTCCGTCTCCGGAAGGCTTGATACTAAATCCATTCAGAAAACGAATACAACAAGCAGAATCGGAATCACTTACAATTGCAGGACCGATGCTGCTAGGTATGATATGACAGACTTGGATCATAGAATCAGATTCGCGTGTAATCGCACATATCTTGCCATCAAGTCGATAAAGCGCGTTCTTGTTCTTTTGGGGACAATCCGAGCCAATGTTGAATTCACCTCGAGGCATCTGGAACAAGAAAGGGTTTTCCTTCTTATTCCTCATCAGATCGGACTGAGCAGGATCGTAGGTAGTACGGGAAGGCCCTTGAAGAGTCATTCCGGGAAAAGGTACTGTGGCGAATGATGAAGGTGAGGGGAGAGGCGCCTAAAGCGCAATCACGGAGGCGCGACACGATATCAAAGCGCAGATTCAAGAAGTAGTGTCATATCAGAAGACGCGGAAGGGCCAACAAGTTAATGGCGATGCTTTGTACCCGACTCCTCTTGCGTGACTGTGCCGTTTCTGCCCTGACTTTGCTATTATAAGCCAGATATTCAGTGACGTGCAGAGCGTCCTGACAGCGAAAATCTGGCACGACGGTCTCGTGTAAGGCTCTGATCCTCTTTTTTGTAGGTAGTAGCTCGTGAACAGCGCGCCGATGAGGAGGATGCAAAGAATGAAGAGGGCCCAAAATGAGTAACCTCCGGTGCAGGCAGTGAGAGTGATCGCCATGATGAGCGGCAGACGTTCGCCCCGTCGCAGAGTGTTATGAAAAACAAGGCAAGAAGGCGGCAACAAACGCGACGCAGGTGACAGTAGAAGGTTGTGTGCCGTAGAAAGCTGTGAGGGGAATGGAATGTCGAAGGTGAAATGGTACGATCGACTGAACTGTACTTCTTCAGATCCTTCATGTCCGTCTTTCAGGCTCGAAGAGGCCGGGTTGCAGGACGTCGACGACGCTATCATGATTGTCCATCCAGCCAATTCAGTTACCTTTCCCCACTTCTGCCCGCAAGAGGACATCCTCGTCCTGTAACAGGAACACCGTACATACAGCACTTTCATGTCATGCAATTCCTCGCTTTATCCCTACCCACTCGTTTCCTCCTTAGGCGTATGTTCCACTTAACGTTTGCACATGTGGAAGGCGCTACGTGGGCATCCAGAGGCACAAATTGCCCATTTTCAAACTGCCCTCCCGCAGACCTTTGGAAGGACCGACTACCCCGCTACTGGGTCCCTCTGAGGCCCGAACGACTTCCTGTTCCGGATCGTTGGTGATCGTACACCCGTGCGTCTTCCGTTCCAACCCGATCCAGACATGAGCAGTGCACATTCCCGTTAATACGCGCATTAAACGAGCACATTAAGCTCAAAGCCTTCTACATCAGCTCCAGCTTCGCACGCATACAGTACCTATCGCATATGCTTTCCTTTCGCCCGCCGTTGCCTGCTCTCCTCAGTGATGACCACCTTTCCCGCCTTGGAAGGCACCGCATGCATCTTCTTCTCTCTCTGTTTCTCCACTTCATGCAATGTGTTACTGGCGGCTACGCGGTCCGGGGGGTGTTTTGCGTCTTTGGGCTTATGTGATTGGGCCTGGGCGTGCCTTTCGTTCTCGAGATCAAACCACTTCACAGGTTGCTGAGCTGTCCGCCTCTGTTCGCGAGCGACGACCTGGGCTACTCGTTCCCTTTCTTGCTCTGCTGCGGCCTTGGCTTGCTCCTCGAACCAGTTCCTGATCTTCCCGGGGGCTTCGAGCCACCTGAAAGGCGGTTTAGGGGGGTCGAGGCTCGGCGGGGCAGGGGGAGGGATGGCGAAGTAGTTGCGGATGGTTGGGTTTGCCAAGAGCTGGGATTGCAGGAGCAAGAAGGCGTTGTTGGTTAGGAAGTACAGACAGACGGCTTGAGGTTGCACGATGGTTATGAAGGCGAAGAGGACGACCATGTTGGAGGCGAAGCTGCGCATGTTCTGGACTTGCTGGGATTGGAGACCGATGTCGCCTCCCCACTGCACGGGCACGGTGTTAGCATGGAGCATGTAGCACGGTTCGACGCGGGCAAAGGCAGACGTACCCGGGAGTTGACGTACATCACTGCTGTCGCTGCCATAGGGAGGATCCAGAGGGTGTCAAGGCCTATCCAAGTCCATGGGGCCCACCAGACAGCGTGCTGACCAAAGATGTGCGCCTCAGCGCAGAGGTTTGTGAACCATGCTGTGCCGCCCTCGAGCATCTGAGGTACGGGCTTGAGGCACATGGACCTGAGACCAAAGAACAGGCCTATACCGGCCGTGATCTGCGCGAGAGGGTAGACGAACGTCGAACCTAGTTTTACCTTGTTGGCGGACATGAGCGCGACTATTTCCCGCTGGTCGAGGTTGGCTTTGACGTAATCGCCCTTCTTGGCCGAGTTCTTTATCTGTGTCTGGAGCCGGGTGATCTCCGGCTGGATCTTGGCGAGCGCGGTGGAGTTGCGCATGGATTTTACTGCGAGGGGGAAGAGGGCGAACCGGACGAGGATGGTGAGGAGGATGATGGAAGTCCACATGGGTAGGCCTGTGCCTGCTGAAACGAGTTCTATCCCTTCCCGGGCCCAGGAGGCGGGGGTCCAGGAAAAGCCTAGGTCTAGAGAGGCGAGGTCGCCAAAGTGCATCACTGGCCATGAGGAGGGGTCGATCGTCGGCACTGTCTCGCTCAGGTCGGGGATTGTGCTGTGCGAGGGGAGGTCGACGGGTGGTGTTGACGCTGCGGAAGAGAGCTCAACTGGGTCGGGAGGTGAGGGGGTGTTGGGGATGTTTTCGGGGGTTGTGGGCGCTGCTGAGGTCGACTCGGGTGAATGTGCTGCGTTTGATGGTGGGAGGGGAGCTGGAGGGGAGGAAGTGAATGGCCAGAGGGAGAATGCGCGTATTCCCACAGCTGGGCGTTGTCTGCGCATCGATATCAACGGTGGGACGAGGGGTAATGTACGGAGAGAGAATGCTGGCTGTATAGGTGTGAGTGGGTAAGAGAGGGTTACGGTGAATGGACAGGCGCACCGGTGGTCGTGCGAGATAGAGCGATCGTTGTCCTCCCACGCTCATCATTCCCCGCAGCGGGACGGACGCCCGACATAGGACGGGGGAGGCCATCGTCGGCGATGGGATTGTCGAGCTGGACGACGAAGGGGAGGTGGAGATGTCGTCGTCGTCGCTGGACGGTGAGGGGCAGGGAAAGAGTGAGCGACAGGGATGCCGACATGAAGACCAAAAATGTTCGGCGCTGTCGGTGATAAATACCGGATGCAAAGTGTCGGAGATTAGGAGCGCGTTATCAGTACTAATCTTGTATGAACGCTTGTACTTGTCATAAGTAAATTAATACTTGTACTTGTAATAAGTAAATTAATATAATGAAATAAATATTATAATATCAAGTTGCAAGTACAATAACACAGAGAACATACAATACTACAATAATGAGCAAAGTGAAATAGTTCGGTAATCATTATCGGTGCTCAAATCCATTCACTTCTCTTGAACGCTCATTGCCCATATGCCCTATCCACTCTACGACCATGTCCCCCTCCTCCTGGTCCCTCCTCTCTCCTTCTCATTCCAAACCACACACCTACCACGCCCACCGCCGCCAGTCCTTCATAGCGACCGACATCCCAGAACAAGTCGAGATCCGTGCCCGGCTGCGTACCTTCGAGGGCTCATATTCACGCACCGCACTCGCCTGCTTGGGGTATAGCGTGCTCGTGCTAAAGCTGTTTGATATCCGATTTTACAGGAGTGCGTCTTCTTCCACCTCCTTCTACTTCTACTGTGTGCGCTCATACACACACGCAGTCGGACTGCTCTACGTGATCCTCTCCCTCCTGCTCTTGCTTGTCCAGTTCCAGAGACGCAGGAATGCGCGACACGACTTTGCAGACCAGTACTCCCGTGCACGGTCTGATACAGAACACCACCCGCATCCGCATCCATACCCGCACGCGCACGCATCCACCGCCCTCACAGGCACAGGCAGTCTAACCGACCCCGGACCCGTCCACCCCTCATCGGCACACGAGCGTCATATGCACTCGTCTGCCCCCACCCACCCCCATTCCCATCCCGAGCAAGGAAAAGACCGAATCTGGGGGCGCGAATTCCGCACAGCGGGGTGGAGCGTACTCCTCGTCACGCTCATCGTAGGCATTGTAGAAGTGGCCCTGTTTGGCCTAGTATGCGCTTTGTAACCCTGGTGCTTTGTGCTGCCTTTCCTGTGCGGGCATTTCCCGTGTTGTTGGGCTTGGAGAGCGAAGAGGGGTGTTGGGAGTTGGCGTTAGGATGGGAGTTGAGCGAGAACATGGGTGTACGCTGTCTGTCGAGAGACGACACTTTCCTGTCGAATTTGACTGTACCTGCATGAAGCCTACTGGCATCGATGCAAGATGTATTCATGAGGCCGTGGACCCTTGCCATCCCAGGTTAGCATCTCCAAACTGTTCATTACCTCTCCCTGCGCACGGACCATGCCACCTCAGCAACGAAAACATATCTACAAATCTGGCAACGCCGGGAATAGCACAAAGGGTAGCAGTACACCACCTACCACCGCTTCAACCAACGAACAAAGTACTGCCAGCGCTCCTCTGCTCTTCCCTCCAGGGGTGAAGACGCCTCTGGCCCTGTTGTACGAGAGGTGAATGATTTTGTTCGGGGGAGCAGGCGTCAACCGGTATGGAACAGAACTGAGCATTTGGGTCAAGGTAGATGTCAGAAGAACGGATGGGAGAAACCGCTAGTCGAACCCGTGCGTCGCTCCACTCTTCCTACCTCAAACGCTCATGCTCATGACGCTCTCTTGTTGCAGAAACAGTCCCGCAAAGGAACTTTTGACTGCTTTATCACCCTGAGACGAAGGAATCCCAAGGCTCAGGGCGGGATGGACCAAGTCGTCTTCCGACCCATACCTGCCTTGGAGATGAAGACCGCGCAGGAGGCGAAACACTGGGGTGCAGTGTACGCTCTTCACCGAGTGCGCCTCATCCCACTCTTCTTCAGCGCGGTGTGCCAACTCATCACAAGTTCTCGAAAGACAGAGTATACCTTTTCCTTCCCGCGGGTCCGAGAGACTACTGGAACTCGCTCCAAGCCTGGCGGGAAGTGCACGGGAGCGCAGCGCATCAGGAATGGATGTGGTCTGCTGATCCCTTTGCAGCAGCGAAAGAGGTAGAGAGGCGGCAAGCGGCAGCTGATCACGCTCGAGAGAAGAGGGTGGAAGAGCAGGTGGCAGCGAACACCGACGCGCTGGCCGCACTTGTCTCTGCGGGAGCTAGTGCGACGGCCGGAGGCGGAGGCATGGAGGGTGCAGGAGGTAGGCATCGAGTGAAGGGATGGCGCGAGTGGAATGAAGCGGTCGAGGTGCGCATGGGTCCCGACCTGCGTGCTCTAGTAGAAGGGACGGTCAAGTCCGTACGTAGTTGACCATTCCTCCTCTAAGCAAACTGACAATGACGGGGCACTCTGCCGTAACGTCCTGGCAGATGACGACTCAGTACCCCGATTTGTTGTCTACTACCGACCTGTCTGCGTCTGACGGTGGCTCACCAGCGACGTCTGTGCTCTCAGACCAACTCCAGGCGCTCGGTTTCCCCCCAAGCCTGATCCCGGCCGCGCTCGCCCCTCCCGCTACACTTTCCCGCGCGCTCACCCACCTTCTCCTACACACCCCAGAACCACTCCTCCCCCCAGCCTTCAAACCATCTCGGGCCAGCGCACCCTTCGTCACCGCCGCGCATTCGCATTCGGAGGAAGGAGCCCTCCGGCGTCGCTGGGCTGGAAACAGGTTGGTAGAGATCGGCTGGCCTAGAGCGGGCGTACAGGTTCTTGAGAAAGGCTTGGACGGCGTCCACTGGGACGGCAGCGTTTCGCACGGACTGGAGATACTTAATGCGCGCTTGTGCGAGGTCACCCTAGAGGAGGACGAGGGCGGGGAAAGGATTGCCCTGCCGGACGGGGAGAGGAAAGCAGAGGAGCTAGAGGTCCTCCAGAGCATGCATCCCGATTTGGTCAAGAACGACCAGGGGACGGAATACGCCCTTCCTATTCCCGGCTCGCCTCTCCAACTGTGCGTCCTTCTCCCATCCGAGCATCCCTACCCTTCGGAGGGCAATACAAGACTGCCGCCGTCCTATGTCGCTCCGTCTTCTTCCTCCTCCGACCTGGGCGAGAACGAGAACGAGAGGGAGATAACAGCATGGGACCGCTTAGGACTCACGCAGTCCGTTTGTCTCGTAGCGCGTTCCGAATGGACCGAGTTCCTGACGGAGGGACAGGGGATAGTGAGCTTGATGGTCGACTGGCTAGAGGCGAACTGGGCAGAAGAAGTCAAGAGTACCGATCCTGGTGCGCTTGTGGAACTCTTGCTCCCCGAGCCTACGCAGTTCCTGCCTCCGAAACCTGTCGAGCTGGCCAAGGTCGTGATGGACAAGCGACTCCCGCGCACTGCAAGAAGTAGGAAGCTGGACGACGGGAAGGAGAGAGAGCTGTTCATGAAGCTGAGGGAAGGGAGGGAATACAAGGAGATGGAGTCGCAGAGGCGAAAACTGCCGGCATGGGATATGCAAGACCAGGTCGTAGACGTGATTGCGAAGAACAAGGTTACGATTATTGTAGGAGAAACTGGATGCGGGAAGACGACGCAACGTTCGTCATACTGTCTAAAGATCTTGCTGTCAGAACGCTCACGTGATCATAGTGCCCCAGTTTATCCTCGATGCTTCCCTCTGCTCTTCCTCCCCTTCAGACGAACCCATTTCCGTGCTTATCACCCAGCCCCGCAGGCTCTCTGCGCTGGGTGTCGCAGGCCGCGTCGCGAGTGAACGGTGCGAACCACGTCCGGGCGTTGGCACCGTCGGGTACGCAATACGTGGCGAGAGCCGGGCGTGTGACAGGACGAGACTCTTATTTGTCACCACGGGTGTAGCGTTGCGAATGCTCACGAATGATGAAGGACTGCAAGGATTTACCCATATTGTAGTGGACGAGGTGCGTAATCAAGTGCCATCGCGAGGCACTCTTGGTCCTAAACGTGCTTAGGTTCATGAGCGTTCCGTCGACTCAGACTTCCTGCTATTAGAGCTGAAGGAAATGCTCCAGCGAGGTGCGAAGATCAAAGTCGTGCTCATGTCAGCGACGATCAACCAGGAAGTCTTTGTGAAGTACTTCAACAACGCCCCAGTTATTACCATACCTGGATTCACGCATCCTGTTACAGACCGGTATGTAATCGTGTTGTCCCGTCCCACTGGCTGATGGGGGCAAAACAGGTACTTGGAAGACATCATACCTCACATCACGTATAGACCGCCCTTTGCAAAGCCCAAGACCAAACAGTCAGACGAGCAGCTGAAAGCATACCGTATGCCATACGTCGAGATGGGATTAGACGAAGATCAGATCCGTGCTCTCGAGAGTATATCACGTACCGATCGCATCGATTATCAGGCATGTAGAGTCCCGCTGACTAAGACCATTCGACCTGATCCCTTCACAGCTCGTTGCCGCGGTTGTCGAACACATTGTTCATACATCACCTAATGAAGGCGCAATCCTCATCTTCATGCCGGGAGTGGCAGAGATCAAGCAATGCATCACCTCACTGAATTCTATCAGACCAGCCCTCATCCTTCCACTTCATGCCAACCTCAGTCCGGCTGAGCAGAAGCTCGTTTTCCCTTCTCCACCGAAGGGGCACAGGAAGATCGTTGTAGCCACGAACGTCGCCGAGACATCCATCACAATCCCAGACATTGTACATGTGGTAGATGCTGGAAGAGTGAAGGAGAACGAGTACGATGCCGAGTCAAGCTTGTCCCGCTTAGTGGAGAGCTGGGTGCCGAAGGCGGGCGCGCGGCAGCGTCGTGGTCGAGCTGGAAGAACACAGAAGGGAGACTGCTGGAAAATTTACACACGGCGGATGGAACAGGACTACATGCCCGCGTTCTCCGTTCCCGAGATGCTGCGGGTGCCGCTAGAGCGACTGTCTTTGCAGGTCAAAGTCACGAAAGAAGATGAGGACGTGAAGGTACGCCACGCGGCGCGCTTGTGGGCAAAGCTGATATGATCACTGCAGTCATTCTTGTTGAGAGCTATTAGTCCACCCAAGATATCAGCATTAGACCAGGCCTGGGTGGTGCTACGTGAGATAGGCGCGATTGATACACACGACAATCTCACCGCTCTAGGCCGTCATCTCGTGAGTTGGGGAAGTCTTTTGCTTGATGGAGTCTGATACTGTCCCACAGGCACTCCTACCAATGGACTTGCGATTAGCCAAGGTATAGCTGTCTTCCATTCCTTTCTTTGATGGGAGCTGAGCCGGGAGACACAGATGCTTATACTTGCAGCAATCTTTCGCTGTCTTGACCCGATCCTAACTGTTGTCGCATGTCTCTCCTCTAAACCGCTGTTCAATAATCCAATGGAGCAACGGGACGAAGCCAAATTGTATGTCTCTTTCCAGAACTTGGGAACGCCAGCTGATTGAGATCCAGGGCGCGACAGAGGTTTGTTACTGCCAACAGTGACTTGTTGACGGATGCCAATGCGTATGCCAAATGTCGTGATCAGAAGGGCCAGAGCCAGATACGATCGTTTTGTGAAGCGGTAGGTTTAGGATGTCGTACGATGATGCTCGTTCTGACGCCTGACTAGAACTTCATCTCGGCCTCGACAGTGCGGGACATCACCTCCCTCCGACAAGACTTCCACTCGACGCTGTCTGACATTGGCTTTGTTCCTTTCTCCTCTTCTCCCACTTCTTCCTTCCTTAACACCAATTCGATGAACCCCAACCTGCTAAAGTCCATTATTCTTGCAGGTCTCTGGTCACGTGTCGCTCGCATTACCCTCCCCAAAGCCTCCTTCGAGCGCGTTCAGAGCGGTACAATCCAAAAGGCTCACGAAGCGAAAGATCTCAAGTTCTTCGACTCGCGAGGGGCGCGCGTCTTCCTCCACCCCCAATCGGCCCTGTTCTCTCAAACAACATTCCGCAGTCCGTATGTCACGTACTTCTCGAAGGCAGAGACGAGCAAAGTGTTCTTGCGGGATGCCACGGAGGTGCCGCTCTATGGCATCCTTCTCTTTGGCGGGGAAGTGGTGAACGATCCCCTTCATGGCGGTCTCACCGTAGATAGATGGGTTAAGATGAAAGCATGGACGAGGATTGGAGTATTGGTTAACCATTTACGGTCTGCTGACTCTTGCACCAACGCTGAGCCTGTGAGTGCTGACACCAGAACAGACGATGCCTCGACGGTCTCTTGGCGAGAGTGATAGAGGATGCTACGCTGCCCGACCTGTCGCAAGACCCGGTGTGTCTGGCGATGTTGGCGCTGTTGGAGCGGGACGGCCTCGGGACGGAAAGTATATAGATAGAGTGGGCCCGAATGTGTGTAGGAGCAATTGATGACCGCATTCATAGATTGAACCCCTGCGCACTAATCTAAGTCAAGACCGCCTCCTTCGAACCCTCAGTCTCAGCATTCCACCATGTAGGCTTGGCAGGGACTTGTCTCCTATCCCCAGCCAGACATTGTTGTCATGTGCGAATTCACTCTTTGTGACGGATGTTTAGCGCTGAGCCAAGGGGCGCCTTTTCGGGGCCTTATCTACCAACGGACTGGGTGCTCGAAGCAGCTCTTCTGCCCCAACTCTCTAGGACAAGTACATTCCAAACGTCTCCCTGATGCAGGATAACCCAGTCACCCAGCAGCCCAAGGCGGTCGAGGAGATGTCCTTTGAGCCCTTACGTCTGCGTGGAGGTACGTCCCTTTCCCCATCTGGCATGGGTATGAGTGCCTGTCTGACGCGCCAAGGCATATCCCTGGACTACAACCGGAACTGGATCTCCTACTCTTTCGGCACCTATAACTGCCAGGTCGGGCCATTCCAGTGCGACACCTCGGGTGGGCAGACTGCCACGGGCATCTGCTGCTGTGTGTGTACAACACGTGCGTTCGTCTTTCTCATTTTGCCTCGACGTACTGACAGCGTGACGCTAGCGTTCAACTGCTGCATCGGCGGGCTTTGGGGTTTGGCAACCTGCGGAAGGGGCTGTTGATGCTGTTGAGCAGGAGGGAAGCGGTGGCGGGTTCCTTCAATTCGAGTTTCGGTGTAGTCTTCCCTTGCTGTCAAGTGTCATATCTTTATTGTTGTCGTGATTGCAAGGATGTTGCCTAGGAAACCAGAAGGAAGGACCGTCCAGTCCTAGCGCCATATCGCTTGCATTCAATTGATGAACTCATCACATACAAAGTGAACGGAGATGCTGCCATTTAGCGATCCTCCATCGATTCTATCACCCTTCAACAGCTCTCACCGAACCATCAGCTCTTCTCATCATGCGTATTCAGTTAGTTCTCATTGCCGCTTTATCGGTGACCACTTTTGCGTACCCAATTCCGACACCCTCTGCAATCCTCTTCGAAGAGGAACTTTTGATGTGAGCAGCAGGCTGTTCTCCTTTCTCACAGCACTAACGTGAATGAGACCACAGATAGAGAGGAATGAAATCAACTCAGGCAACACATCTCCTGCGAAGCTAATCGAGATGAGGGAGAAAGCCGTTAGCGCACATGCTGCGTCTTGGCAGGTGCATTCTCAAGCAGAAGAACTGAACATCGCACAAAATCGTGTTCAGAAAGAAGCTGGAAGGGCCTGGCTCGAGGGACACCCCAAGCATTTGGAGAATGCACAAGCCGTTCGGAACCAGGCAAAAGACAACTACGATGTTGCAAGGATGACACATGAGAGGAACGCGGCATCTGGAGGATGTCAATCGTATGATAGTAGGGAACGCGCAGAACTTGGCAAAGGATGAAGCCAACTAAGGCATTGGAGACTTTTCGGGAAAAGCAAGTTCTCTCGCCTCTGAAGAAACCCAACCGCCAGGCCCGTAAACAGCAAAGGAAACTTGAGATCGTTGTTCGCGGAGAAGAAGGTGGTGTGGGAAACAAGACAGAATTAAAAGTTGCCATCTCAAGGCAGGCTGTCCCTTTCAATGAATGCGGTACATACTAGTACTAGTACTTAGATAAAGAGACATGGGCTCCTTGGGTAAATGTGTACCTTTATTCCTGTTCATATAGAAAGTTGACGGTGTTGGTGCTAATCTGTGCCAAGAAAAGTGCCCCACATGCCACTGGTGCCGACACCGCCATGCGCAGAACATTCATTAACATCCCTTAATGTACACCTTCATCAATTGTACTTCATCAATTGTACGACCAACTTGTACAATTCCAACTCGAATTTCTACTTCAATTCCTACGATTCCAACTTTTATTACAACTTCTGTCAAGATTCACAATGATCATCGACGGCCCCGTCAAGATGCCATTTCCTCCTCCCCCATACACACGCATAGCGCCCAACGCCAACCGCGACTCAAACGCCCGCCCACTCCCAGTGCCCGGCGCTGCTTCTCTTGCCCCCACATCCCCTACTATCGATACCACCTTCGATACCACCCCATCCCCGCTCAATCCGTTCTACGACGCTGCGAGTCCCACCTCTATCCGTGGCCCACCGCCACCTTTCAGCGTGTACCATCACAGGCCGACGCTGAACGATCTCCCACAGCATGTGCTCCTCCAAGTCATCTACACAGTCGTCGACCCCGACCTTCCAGAAGAGTCCTACCGTTGGGGTCTGTACTGGCTCGCAGTGAGCCTCCGACTCGTTTCACGGAACTGGTACACTGGTGCGCAACCTTACTCCATCCTTACACCCATCCTGACGAAGAAACAGCATGCATGCATGTCCTGCGCTCTGCCTATCTTCCGGCCTATGTCTCCCACATCCGCCCACCGTACAGCGCTAACCCGTACCCCCTCTCCTCCCCCGCATCCCTGTACGCCTCCACCTACTCCTCTTCCTCCGGTCCCTCCCTCCCCGCACTGGCCGAAGATGCTCAGCGCGAAACTGCAGTGCTCGACATGTTCATCGCATTTCAAGTCCGGCAGAACGTCCTCCGGGACGAGAGCGAACTGCACCTCGAGGCCGGACATGAGGGGGTCAAGGACCTCTTCGAGCTCTTACAGCCGAGAGCGAGGATGGAGGACCTCGTACGCAAGTACGCCCTCCGCGCTGGGGTCGTGTCCGTCGGTACGAACGGACCTGTTGGGAGGGACAAAATACCCTTCCGTGAGCTGTCTGTCAACTTTAGCAGCCGAAAGGTTGGACTTGTGAGGAGTGTTGGGGGGAGGAAACGGATTATCGCAGAAGTGGGAAGGGAGAGGATGGAGAGCCTGGAAAGTGCGGCGAAGCGGATCGTCGGCGAGCTGGTCAAGGGTATGGACGTGATCCGTTGAATACTCATCGGCGGTGCGGTCCTGTGAGAGATCCGCGTATGCGAGGATTGATCGGTGCCGTGCAGGGACTGAGTTCGGCGCTTGATATTGGCCACGGAGGTTGCCGTTTAGTGTACGTTCATATTTCACTCTTTTGGCGGATGTACTGTATGTATTACACATGAGATATGAAATGCCTCAGCCTGTGTTGATTTTCGGGCTGTACTCCACGCTCGAGTATGGCTGGCCCATGACAACCACCAGTTGGACTGATTAGATGGAGATCCACCCCGTTTGTGAGGATTCGTCGATAACGTGCAGAGGGTGAGTGAAGCGCTTCTTCAAATATTTGGGAGGGGGGTTGCTGTTTTGTGTACATTCGTTTTTGATGCTTTGCGAGATATGAAAGGCCGGTATCTGTGTCCATTGTAGAGCTGTGTTCCACGGTCCAGTACGGGCGCGCCATGAGAGCTGCAACATAATCCATTCGGTCCAGGAAAGGTGGTTGTATGAAGGGGGTTAAGAGAGCAGGCGACGGTGTTCATCTGGAGGTTCGAAACCGCTTTGTTCCGGTGTGCGTGGACGTTTCCGAACGGTGTCAGAATGGAGTACAACCTGTTGACAACGGCGAACCTCTTCCCAGTGCATCCACCCCAACATGAATGATTGAGATAAATGTATAACGTGGCCGCCCGGGGCGTTGCATGCTGCCGAGAAGACATTGATGTATTATACCCGGCGAGGGCGATGCCTGACTCAAAACCATGAGTGAGTTTCAGGTTTGTTACACGGCATAAGGCGCTGCAACGTCCCTCAGATGCTCAGGTAATCGAGTACAAGAAGATTAAATATAGAACAACATGAGCTAGTTGAACTCATTTCACGGAGTTGTGTGGGTGGAAAGAATCACAGCAGTCTGGGGCAAGAACGGGCTTCGGAAGCAATTCTGATTCTACACGGCTTAACTCGCTAATCATGTTCTCACAAGGTGATGGAACAGGGGGTTATGGGCTGATGCAACGACAACTTAACATTTCCAATGACTGTGGAGACGAGCGATTGAGTTGGTCGCAGCATCATCGATATGTACGCAGCGTTTTGCTCGGAACCAGCCTTTTCCAACTCATCTTACTTTGAATGCCTCCTCATGCTCCAGTGCGATGAACAGTTTTAGGTTGTGTGTCTGGGTTCACAGATATAAGGAGGATGAGGATGGTTCTCCCACAAGCAGACACGACATGCTGGTCAGTCGTCACACTGTGCCCCTGTTCCCGGAACACCCACGCTATCCACTCCTCCTATCCGCTATTCGTAGACGCAGCCCGTCATCTCTCACAATTCTTTAATCATGCACACACACTTGCTGCTCCTTGCTCTTATTTCGACTCTTATTTTCGCACTTCCAGTCCCGACACGGTCTGATATTGCCCTATCAAGTGACATATCTATACTGTGCGTATCATCTTTGTCTCACAAGAAATTCCCTCGCAATTGACACGAAACTCAGACAGAGGGATGTTCCGGAAGAGCTCTGTGATGGTAGAGCCCTGATTGCAAGAGATGGCGAGGGACAAGGAGGAGGAAAACCGAACTTGTTCAACAAGCTTGTGTCAAAGTTCCCATCACGGATATTCGGCAGCTCTTCCAAACCGCCTGTGGCATCGCATGAGGAGTTGGGGGAAAGAGTAAAACACGCCCACGCAAAGGCTGAGGAAATGCACAAAGACTCGTTAGCACGTGTTGAAAAAGCGACAGCCACGCATGCCACTGCCAAGACGAACAAGGAGGCGGACACCAATCCGCAAACGAAGCAGGCGTTTAGAGATGCAACAGCCGACCTCGAGAGGGAGAAGCGCGCACAGAGGAAAGCTCTTAGGGTTCTTCATGCGGCAACCAAGGACAGGGACAAGTGGGTGGCGAAGGACGCGAAATTAAAGATGGACACTGCAGTGTATGAGCATCGTGAGGCGCGGGCCAAGGGCGAAAGGCTGGACATTGCGTGGGAATTTGCGGGGACACAGAAAGAAAGGGACAAGATTAAGGAGCAGGCTGAAGCGCAGCTAGGAGTTATAGAAGAGAAAAAGAGGGCTCGGCGCGAGGCGGAGCGTAACGTGTCGCACAAGAATCACTACGTGTGGAGCTGGACTTCACACGTATCCAGCCATTCGGATAACGGCGCATCCGAGTCCTTCGAGGTTACCAGATTGAACCACCCAAAGTCATCAGGTGACGACGTTGATTTTGGACGGTCTACCGCCGCCCCAATCATTCCGCACGATCGTCCGCTCAGCGGATGGCAACAGTCCAGTCCGGTCCGGTCCGGTCCTGGACGGTCCCGGATGTTTGGCGGTAGTCGATCTTGGCCCAGGATGGTCCGGTCCTGGACGGTCCCAAGACTGTAAACCGCCAGACACCATGACATGACCGGTCGCCATCCCTGCAACGCAAAAACTGTCAAACTCTGCGCCCAAGTGCATGGCGAAATGGTGGCTGCGTGGGACTGGACTGGACCGGTCCTTCGCAGTTCAGGACTGAACTAGATTTTCCAAAGGTGTTGGTCCTGATCCGGTCCTCGGACGGTCCAGTCCTGGACTGGATCGGCAGGACCGCGGTCCTCAAAGTCCGGTCTGGGACCGATGCCATCCCTAGCCGACTCCGCTGGAAACTCGCAGTTGTTGGGGACAGGTGGCAGAAAGGATTATCTCACTTGTATACTGAGCGGCTAACCACGATGACGGCAACTTTTGCTCATGACTGAAGAGTTGCTACTCGGCTCTCGGTACCTGGTCACTTGTGACTTTGATCGACGAGGGAGAAGTAGGGTATTGTTTTGATAGACTAATTATTAGCATTCCACACAATCCGGAGGTTGCACAAACACGTTGGTGCGAGAGAAGATGCATCACTGATTGCTGCTCACCTGTGCCGAAAATACAGGATTGAAGGACCTCGCTGTAACCTCGCAGGAATTGTATGTTGAAGAACGTGACAATGACGGAAGTCAGAGCTAGTAACAAAATCCGATGCTGTTTCGTAAGCGACGATAGAAGAGATCCGAATTGTGGTGGCCAGAGCTGGTGCGGTGGCGCATGTAAGCCTCGGCCTATATAGGAGGATTCGGATTGCACGAGTCAAGAAGTACCGTAGTACCGTATCTAGAGAACTCGTTCGCGTGAGAAGATTCGATATTCAACGGAATATCCGACCAATTTCCAATATGGTATATTCCCATGCATAGTCAGACGACAAATGGCCGGCGGGAGTCTGCAGGTGGACTGAACCTAAGACAGGTCTCGGAGAGCCAGAAGTCGCAGATTAGAAGGACTTAGCTCCGAGAGGCTGTTCGTTCCTCCGCCGTGCTTTCGGATTTAGGGTCGTGATGGTGTACTTCTCGCACGTCCTGATGGGACAACACCACGACGGCAGAATCTTTCTCTCCGTCAAATCGGCCGACAGTGACTCGAACCCAGATGTTGGTCAGCGATGTGGCCTGACGCGCGGCCTTCTGCGTGCATCGGAAGTTCACGAGCAAGCTCCAATGTTGAAAGTTCGGAGACCGAGCTCTGGAAAGGCAAAGATCGCGAGCTGCTTTGGTCCCTAATCAGCGGGATCGATGGCTATCGTCCACAGAAGGCAGGAGGATACAGAAGCTCTAGTTGATCGCGATCGAGCTAGGCTGAGGTCGCGCCATACCAGAGACGTCGACCTCAGGGACAACAGACGACAGCCAACGGACGAGGTTCTGTTCTCTGGAGAAATAGATGCGTGGATCGTGGGAAGTCGGGGCGAGTCCGGATTGAGAGCTAGAGACCTTATCAAGCAGGGGAAGAAGGTAAAAAGACGGTTTAGCCGGCGAACCGCCGGTCGGCGCGGCTGACCGATGCTTCTCCCGCAGGACCACAGGGCTAGTGTAGGGTAAACATAGACGTAATAGATGAAGCAGATGAATAAATAAAGTCGCGGGGATGTGACTGCGAGGGGTCGAATGATCGTCGCGTGTGCTAGAACGCCGGCAGGGGATTGTGCTGGAGCCAGCTTGGACCCAGGAGAGTGGTAGGCCGCGGTAAACGTTATGGTTAGAGAGACGCCAGGGGAGAGACAGTTGTGAGTACCGTTTGTACCGCGGCCGTGTCTCTGGGGACGTGTTGCCTGCTGCTGGGGGGAGTGTACGCCCCAAAGGTTTAGCCGTGCCCGAACAGAGATATCGACATCGCAAGCTTCGCGGACAGCACTATATGCAGATTCAGATTTGGCTTGCAGGCACAGACGTGGTGCGCATGCGTGCGCATGATGTGAATAAGGACAGCTGGGAGAAGTCGTGAGAAGGACGGGGAAAAGTGTGCGTCAGGGAGCCGTTGTCGCCGAGGATGGAAGACCCTGAAATCGGGGAACTTAGCTTCGTCGCGCTTTCCAAACATGGGGCAGGGTAGGGGATGATCTGCTTAGCCTGGCAATATTCGCCAGTGCCGGCTGGGAAGATGCTGCGTTGCGTTGCATAGAGGTTGAGGAATGACGCAGGAGAGAAGGTAATCTGTTTGAATGAATGGAACGAAAACACAGGAATACAGCAGTAATCCAGAAAGAACACCTAGAGTTCAGCATCGGACGAGTACGAGAAAACGGGTCACGAGCCGGAGTGGGAACACAAACAAGTATCATTTAGTCTACAGACATTGGCAGGAACAGGCAAGCCAGTGTTCATGTTCATGTTCGAGGTTGCCAGATGCCCAGGTTTTCGATGAGTTTGCGTAGGTAGGGGTTCTTGGACAGAGAGTACACAAGAGAGTCCGGGCGAGGTTGGGTCAGAGCAAGAAATAAAAGCGGAATTTTCGAAAGGTACAGAATGTACATCAGATCGGAGCGTTGCGTCGCTTCATAGGTTTACAACAGTCCTCCACGCGGCACGCGGGATCTAGCGGGCTCCAGCAGTCTGCGCCTCCCATGCGACTGTGCGCATTGAACTCGTTGGAATTGGCAGGCGGTGCGGAGGCGGTCCAGCGAGCGGGGGCAGGTGCCTCGTCAGTTCTTGGAAAGGGGGAAGAGCGGTGGGAGTGGGGTGGTGTCTTGCTGCCGGTCCAGGTGGTAAGTGACCGGTGACGATATTGATCGGGGGGAGATAACGATCGTGTGCTGAGGGGTGTTGGGGTGGTGGGGAGCGAGTAGGGACAGGGTAGGGTGCTGGACTCCTCGGAGGAGCAGAATAGCTCGGTGCGTAGGAGGAGGCGGGGTACGGTGTTGCCCGCGGGGAAGTTGGGCTGAGCGAGCTCGGTGCACCGGGATAGTAAGGTGCCTGATAGATAGGCGATGCAAAGGGTGACTGGCGAGAGGTGACTGGGGAACTCGCCCAAGGGGGTTCGATGCTGCTGCCTCGGTAGGTTGATGGGCTGGTCACTACGGGGCTTGTGGTCACTTCTGACCCTGCCTCATCCATATCTTCCGGCTCCATACTTCCAATACTGCGCCTGCGCCTCCTCAGGGTCTTCGCCGCGCTGAAGATGCCTGAGGGAACTTCGATAGTCCTAAACAGCGGGAAATGATCTGTCGTAGGGAGCTGTTTGTGGAACGGCCGCCTAAAGTAGGACGTGACGTGCCATTTTGCCGGCCGAGTACCGGGCTCTGCAGCCGGGTCGTGCACATATGCGCTGTACGTCTTCTTTGTAAGTCCATCTGGTTTGTCTGGGCGGTTCGAGCGACGGTAGGGGAACGTCGCTGCAGCAGGATCGTCGAGTCCTCTGCTCAGAGTCAGCGGTGTTACAGGATTGGAAGAGGCGACGACTGACCTTTCGCGCATCTCTTCAACGGTAAGCTGCTCCGCCTTTTCCTCATAGAGCAAGAACGGGTCGTTGCTCCTGCTCGGACTCCACTTGAGGCCGTCCGTCCATCTTTCCATTCCCTTCCCTCCTACACCTCGGGTTCCTGCCTCAGCCTCCTCCCATACGAAGACGGCACCAGGTTGAAGGAACCGGAGACGTTCGTGGGTGCTGAGACGATGGGTGACCATTGGGAGACGACTGGGAGGGAAAGGGTGAGGATGCGGCTACGGGTGGTGGGGGTGGGGACGCACCCTGAACGGACTGCCTCCATGACGACATGTGCGTCATGTTCGTTTCTGATGTCTGTATGGGGGATAAGATGCGCATATATGAAGGCTAGGGGGTGTGCTTACATAGTTGAGGGTGTGTTGGACTCTGCATGGCGTGGATGGGGAGTGGTGGGATGATGTCGGCGGTATGAGTTTATGGTTGGGAAGGGAGGACGAGGGATGTATGCCAAGGGGAGGTATGAAGGCGTGAGATGGAGATGGAGATGGGGGGAGGGAAAGGTGATGAACCCGTCGATGCATGGTCGGGGTATTTAAGGTGTGCTGAATAGGCACCAAGAGAGGGAGAGACAGGATAGACATGACAGGGATCACACGGAAGCACAGCGCATACACCCGGTCCTCCTCCTCCTCATCCTCTTCCTCTTCCCTCTCTTCCCCCTCTTCTTCCTCTATTCACTTTCACACACATCCATAATACAACAAAGGTAATTACACCACATCACCGCACAGCGCATACACAGTCCATTTCATACTCACATACCCATACAAGGTATGTCAAATGCAACAAATATGCGCCTACATCACATCGAGCTTATTCGTACCTCGTCCTGTCTAATCCCATAGCACATGCACAGACATTGTCAGAATAACACAGAATCTCCCTCTCACAGCGCATAACATCACTGGCAACCACACTCACACTCTCGCATCATGCATTCAAACCACACCGCCCTTCCCCACAAAAAAGGCAGTCACGAGGGGTTGGCAAAACAGCGTCCGCTGCAAAATACCCCGGTGGAGGTCTACGGCGCGGCCTCGCACAATCAATTGTCCGCTCGAGTCTCGCAGCATCAAGTGGTTCATCACTAGCAACAAGACCAATTCTACGCATATGCTGCTCTTCTTCTCCCTGAAGGAAGTATAACCGCGCCATCACACCGGTCTTCTGTTCCAGAACCCACCTCGTCCTCGAACACTGCCCACAGCCCCCGCGGCATTCTCCCACCCCCAGGCATGCACGTTGTTCCTATGTCCGACGACCTGGTCCTCCTCCTACCCCCGCGCTCTCCTCTCCTCTGGACCGAAAATTGTGCCATCCCATCTCGACCGACATCATCTGCTCTCTTCCCGCCGCCTCCACCACTCTCCAGGGCCTATCCCATTTGGGATACAGAGCGTCCATTTCCGGACATCTGCCCTCTCTTGCCCCGCCTCGGTCTATGCCAACAACCCCTTCTATAATTATCATCATCCTTTTGACAAGACCCACCGCTTGGCACCTGTCCATTTCCGTCCTCCTAGGAATACAGACTGATACGCACTGGCAACACGCAACTGCAATGCGCGATATGCCTCACCTCCATCTGATTGCACTTCCCTGTCTCGTAATCCAGCACGATTAGCGTCCCATCTGACCCCTCGTAACTGGATCGCGCATTCAATTCCCCGGATTCATCTTCCAACGCGCGACACAACATTTGATCCCTCTTGCCACCCCGCATCGGGCAGCGACGCGATTCGCCGAGCGGACATAGGCTCACACGAACAGACTTTCTCCCGTTCGGCAATGAGACAGCTTATGACCCAATCACACGCGCACCCCCGCCCTGCCCCTGGCTCCCAGAAAGCCTAATTTGGCCAAGTGTCCGACAATTAAGTTGGGCCACCGTCCACCCCTGCGTCCGGCTGACCGCGTGTCTACCCACGCCGCGTCACTGTACCCTTGGCGCCGTGCCCGGCTTCCATAGGGCTGGATTAGGAAATCGACAAACGACAGGAAGCTGGCACCGTTTTCCCTTCGACAGCAGCAAGCTTCCGTTATGCGTTATGCCCGGGCGGTTGCCGGCTGGCGCGGTCCCGAGCCTTTTTCATCAAACGCCGAAGCCCTCGCTCCTTCTATACCTTCTGGCGCGACGAGCGATACTTCGCCCCGTCGTCGCCTATTGTTGCTGCGGACGATGGATGAACAGTTATTACGGTAAGAGGACCTCTCGTTGTTTCCCGATGATGGCACCACCACCGGAGCTCTGCGGGCGCTGTGAGCCGGGTTACTCATCTCATCTCATAAATCCATGCCCGGCATCCTTCGCATTGGCGTAGGACGGCCAGTGGAGGTTCCGCCCACCCACCTCCATCAGGCGTAGCCGTCCGTCTGGGATCCTCAATATGGTTTCAGCAATTATTTTGATTCCCAAGACCGTTCCGGGGTTCAGAAAGCGCCCACGGCACCCAAAATGAAGCGCCACTGCATTCTTGTCAACCGACGTGTCCGCCAGAGCTTCTTCATACGTGGTCAACGTCCACCCGACGAATAAATATAAATATAGTTCAATCAGGGAAGCAGGAAGCCTAATAAAAGCCTGCGCTTATCCGCCTTCCAGTGCCATGCCTTAGGTACGCATTTGTCTCCCTTGTCCCTGGAAGCTCGGAAGTCTGTATGTCCTTATATGAACGCGCACATCTCGCAAATTCCATCTGCTTCGGTTCATCGATAGTATTCAGATCTAATTTCGATGGGGAAGAATACCGTGCCCGCGGACTGTACTGTATCGGCATCGATTGATGGACAATCACCTCGTCTGGCGTCCTGCATCACTGCACCCAATACTACATGTTGATGCTACTGGCAGTGGACGCGCTGCACGCGTCTATCTATGACCAACACTCTTCCTGCCAACGACCGGACATTTCCATTCGCTTAACATACTCCTTTGCCCCTTCCGCGGAGAGCTTGCCTTCTCCGGTCAGCACGGCTTCTACAGCTTGACGTACTGCCAGCGGCATCTTGTTGGAAGAGCTGCGAGAACTCAGTTAGCGATGTGATGTGCACGCGACGTCAACTTGACGAGACCGCCGAATCGGCGCTCACCCGGAAATAAGCACATAGCCTTTATGTTCATGTACAATCCTCCATACGCGCTCCGCGTCCTCGACGATCAGATTCTGGACGTATACTTTTCTGGGCTGGAGAAGCGTTTACCCGAATGCGTCAGACCATTTTCGCCACCTTCTATCTGAGAAGTCCTTGCCTGATCTCGCGAAGCTGCTATGCGGCACACCAGCTGCCCCTTGTTCTGATAAGCCATCCATTCCTCCTTGTAATGACAATCCGCGTCGAGGGACCGGCAACCGAAATAGAGGGTATTTTCTGAAAAATCATACACTTTGACCAGCCTTCCTCAAGAACACATACTTACCTTTTGACTTCTCCTGCTGGATTCGGTGCTCGATGAACGCACGCATAGGTGCGACACCGGTGCCCGGACCGACGAGAAGAATGGGCGTACTTGGTAGGGGAGGAAGGTGCATCGTCCCGGGCTCGAGCGCGATCTGGACAGCGTCGCCTACCCGGCTCTCAGCTAAGCACCGACCAAATCCAGGGACTGCCTACCTTCCTTCAACCTGGTCAACCACGTTGTACACACGCCTTTTCGGGGAGTCTTCAACCTCGTTTTGTATTGCACGATTGCTACGCAAAGATGAACCTGCCTGGGATGGCACTACCAAAACGGGTCAGAAGCACAGCACCACACGGTCCTGGCTGCGCACCTTGACTGAACTGGCAATCGAGAACTCTCGAGGGCGTATTTCGGGGAAGACATCAAATACGTAATCCTGAGGTATTTGGACAGAGCGAAATTCGGTCAGAACTTCGGCGATGGTTCGTCGTACACGGTGGCAGTACGCATATAGGTCATCCTAGTGACAATTCCTTATCAACCAGGAATGAGCTTGCCAGCGGCCAGGTTCACCTGCCCTTCAGGCGAGCAAAAATCTTGCAATTTCTCTATTTCAAGCTGGTCCGCAGTAAAATGAACGAGAGATTCGAAAAAGCTGCGCCGTGGCACGCCCAGAATATCCAGATAGCGCGTGAAGGCTATTCGAAGCGTCATGACCTCAGGCCAATCTTCCGGAATTGGCCGTTCTGAAGGAGATCAGCCTTCGCCATAATGCACAAATACGCCGACCGACCTAAATCGTTCGGCAAAGCCCGAAATGGCCTGTCAGCAACATCGGCCCAACCCATCCGCTCCATGAAATGCTGCACTTCGTCGGGATCATTTTCTGGGTGTAGGACGGCGATGTCTCCCGGAGAATAGCTATGGCAGAAACAGACTCAGAGTGAGGAACGACTGCCGCATGAGGCCATTACAAACCTGACATCGTCATGAAACTCAAACTCAATGTGCCTCACATCTTGATACCAATCCGACCTCGTCAATCTCCGGATACGTAACAAATTCGCGGGATGGGATCCCGGAAAGGAGAAGGGTACATTGGACAGCGGGAGCTCAGGACTGTCAACCCATTCCAACCGTACGCGTGGTGGGTAAAGGTAGTCCTTCGGTACAACCTCAACTCCGGGCGGAAGTGGATACATTGCTAAAAGCACTCGGAACAGACCGTCGATCCATGGATCGAAAGCGCCGTCAATCCTACGATCATTGCCCTTTCAGCGAGTTGCGCCATAAACACAACAATACTTACCCAAGGTAGTGCTGATCATCCGCATCCCCCCTCTCCCAAATCTCGCGAGCACCCAGACTCTGCAACCTCCGTTGAAGCTTCTTCGAAGCCCAATTGTAGCGTGCGTAGCTCGAGTCACCCAACCCGAATACAGCAAAGTCCATGCCGTCGAACAGATCTACGGGCAGGTCGGCTCGCAAGAGCGTCTTCCAGAGCTTTGTCATATTACGTGGCTCGACGCCCTGCCCACTTGTGGAGCACACGAAGATGACGAGCGGTTCTTCGATCAGAGTCGCCTACAATCAAGCTTATAGTCGGAAGACTCAAACGACGGGCAAGCGTGGTGCCATGGAATTCTGCTCACGATGTCGTATGCATCCATCGAAATAACCCTCGCCTTGAAGTGGTGCCTTCGCGCATCTCTGCCCACCCGCTCTGCCACGTCCTGTGCGTTCCCAGACTCTGATCCGTACAGCACCAGCAGTGTCCTTCCATCGCTCGTTTCATCAGGTTGTTCGCGAGAAATCATGCTAGTCACTGCGCCGTCCTTGAGCGTGAGGTTCCTTAGAAGGGGAGGCTCCACGCTCATGTTGCGTGAGGACGGAAGACAGCGAGGTGGGAGTGACAGAGATGGTGGAATCAGGCAGCAAGACCCTTCGGAGGTATTCGGCGTTTATCTCCACCAGGCGCTTACATGCTCCGCGGACACAAGTCTCTTTTTTTTCGCAATGGTTGTTCACGTTGCTTGTAAACAGACCACCTCCATGCTTTGGACGACCAAACTCCGACAAGTCCTAGATTATAGACTTGCGACTCTGTTAGCTGATTTCCAGTCTGCGTACATTGCCAAGACTAGCCGCTTTCCCGAGCATCACCCGGCCGGTTCTATGTGCCATTTCGTCTCAAACACGAGGCAATGTCGCGGCGGATTTCTCTCGTTTGACTCCTGAATTCCTGCCTCCTCAAGATGTATTTGCATGACATGACTGCCTCTTGACGTGCGGCTGTATCTTCTGGCGTCATGGTGCACCACTTTCATTCGGTATTGGAATGTCGACATCCATGTCGCTCCTAGGGATTGCGAGGACTCGACGAGATCCTGCTTGGCATTGGTAGCCTACAACTAGCAATCACGAGCTGCGCAATATCCTTGGATTTACGTGCGTCCCTCTTCCTTGACGTAGCCATACGTATGCATGTCGTCAAGATGCAAGCGCGTGTTCGTTTAGCAGCGCTGTTGGGCCGACACTGGTTTGCTTTGAGCATATTGTCTTATCCTGGGACTCGCCATACCTACAATAGCTGTAAAGAAGACTATCACGCAAAGAGAAAAGGATCCTATATCGGGCAAGTCGGAAAACGCTGCCGGTATATCTGCGGAAGGCCAGAATGTTTATTTGCTGTCACGGATATTGTCTCCTTGTCGAGCCATAGACGTCGAATGGGTTTGAAGGTGCTATCTGGCGGGTGGCTTCTCTTCACGAGCTGACGAAGCGGCGTGTTCAGCGGACCGATCTACCATCTCTTTCTTCTGACGTCGGACCCTGACAACCCTATGAATGCTGGCAAATTTCCGAAAAGGCGTCTTCTCGGACCCTGCGGCTCGACCACCATGACTCAATTCAAATCTGGTCTCTGCCATTTCCATAAAGGGGATTGTGTAACCTGGTTCTGCAGGTTCGAGGGTCGCCTCTTATGGCAAGTTCGGAACCACTCTATATGGCCACCGCTAACACCGACGAAGAAACATCGCTTGCCGGTGACGACTTCCAGTGACATTTTCTGGGTTTTCCAGCGCTTCGGCTGCTGATCGCAATCGCTCCTGGTCTTCTTGTGCTTCTTATGAATTACTACAGATGAAGAGGCGCTGAGTGATTCTATTCGGAGACTTGCTACGTTGTCGAACGATTCGATGGGTCAGTACGAATGCTGAATCTTGTGCTTCCTGTCTTCCATCGGTTTCGGACGGCCTAATCGAGGGCTGAGCAGCGGTGTTTCTCCGACATTCGTAGCATGGTGTATCACATGTTGCGCATTACACATCGTATCAACATGCCTGGACCTCGTGGTATGATGCACTCGAGGGCCTGTTGTGTCCGCGGCCCTCATCCAGGGGGGCACGATCCTTTCTCCACATTCTTTTCAACCTTATTTCGCAACAAGTAAGCAAAAGTCATCAAGGTGCTCAACGCCACACGCGTGATTCGTCTCTTTTTTTTGCCTAAGCTGGCCGGAGCCGCTCCTTTCAGGAACACGCTTTGGCTTCCTGAACTCAATGGTGCACCGCGGGAAGTTGTTCCTACCAGTATGGTGTGTGGTCCGCGGGTAGCTTAACAATCCAACAAATGCGGTATGTTCCTCGACCTGTACGCGTCTTCAGCTCCAGTACCCTGCATCAACCCTGGTTGCAACGAGATCTGCAATCCTTTTCGTGGACCGATCTGTGGAGCGAGCGAATAACGGGCGTTGACCCCCACCCCGCTCAGGCGAGATGAGAGTCCACCTAGGCGACTTGTCGGACCCTCATCCCTGGCCGTAACCTGCTCAATGATATATAACCGGAATCACAGGCAGGTCTAGCACGAACCTGACAATGTCCAGCTTTCCGCACAGTCGGGCCAGCACGCACCTGCAGGATGAGGCGCCGGATGACGCGTGCGCGTGCGCGTCTCCACGGGAAGCACTGGTGGTCTGCCGTTTCCCGGGGTGGAAATCTCTCTTCTGGCCTGTTCATCCGTCCCTTGGAACAGGCGGGAATGGGTGCTGGGTGGGCGGCACGACATTTAACCTTCCACCGGATAAAGCGATGGGGCGGCGCTAGCACTGGCAGGTGCATTATCAGAATGCGATCAGGCTGTCGTCACTCGACGCACGGCCATGTCTTTATTTGCCAAGTCGCGTTGACGTCGTTTCGATCGAAGGGGGTAGTTAGGAGGAAATAAACGGGGATCCCGACAATGCCCTATCTCGCTTTCCTCGAGGTATCGCCGGGCCTCATACGAGGGGACGACGGATCTGGGTCTGAGATAACTTGTGCTGGAATTAGACGGGACGGGACGGGCTGTGATGGGGTGAGTAATTGAGTCGGGCTGTCTGGGCTCAAAAAAGCAATGTCGGCCGAGGAAGGGAGGGATTGCCAGAATACGTACGCGGTGAGCTGTGGTTAGCAGATACGCGGCAAAGGTCGGGCAACGGTTGGACGAATGATCTGCATTGGAAGGCAGGATCCTGACAGCGGACGACTAGGTGTGGGGAGGGGAGAGACGCCGAAGAACCGGCCTGGGAACTGGTGTGGTTGTCCATCGGATGGGCACGTTGGGATTGGGTAGGGGGCTCAAGCGAGCGATGGGTTGTTCAGGAGGTGTAGGACGGTGCTCTCTCTGTACTGCCTTGGCCCTTGGTGACGGACTGCGCGCGACGTAGTCCTGCAGCTGGCTAGGTAGCCAGTTGGAGGAGTATCCTTCGATGCACGGCGGTAGATATACGTGGTTGATGATACCGAGGGCGAGAGAGGGCGTTGGAGAGCAGGAGGAAGGTTCCATGATGTTATATTCTCGTCTGGGAAGATGGATGCTCCCATCTCCTCTACCGCTCACACCGTCCTCCTATCAGTCATAACCCTAACGATACACCCAACACCAGCGACCTCCGTAAGCCTCTCATGCCACCCGAGCAAGACGCTCCCATTCACCTCCTCCCCGAGGCTGGCCATGCCCTTGTACAGGTACTTCATGAGCGTGTCTTGTTGTTCCTCCGAGAGGGCGCGAACGAGTGTGGGGATGTCGGAAGTTTTGGTGCTATTGAGTATGAGGAGGAGTGTGCTGAGCGTTTGTGCCTGCGTTGGGGAGAAAGGGTTATGGATGAGCTGGGGAAAGGAGCTGGAGAAAACCACACCTTTGCTTCGTCTACTCCCTCACCATACGCAGGCCGATCCAGCACAGTCACCAACGCACCTGCCACATCACCCCTTATCACATCAACTTGTATCCTCCCCGTCCAAAGTGCGACTGACCTGCTCAAGCTGCCTTGCACTGAAGAACTCCTCTGCTGCGCGTCTGCCTGTACTTGTGCGGGTGAACGAGGATCGGGGTCGTACAGCTCCGAGGGGAGTAGGACGTCTTCATCATACTGATCGATGTTTATTCTGCGGAAATGTGTATCCATCTGAGCAATGTTGGATATCGATTGATGAATAGTGCCGCCAGTTAGGGCACAGGCCACTTCGGCTTAGGAGTCTGCAACGTAGTTGTCCCAGACTTTGGGCAGGGTGAATTTCATTCGTAAATATGCACAGTAACAAAGGAAGAAAAGGTTGAGACCAGCTGAAGAGCATGTGTGGGGCTATGCGTCCGATTTATATTTTCGGGGTGGACGACCACCAATATGTTTCACAATGTTAATGCTGCCACACCTCCTGGGACTGAACGGCGTCCAGCCCTGCCGTATGATTGATACTTTCCGACAATCTCGAATCTCCCTTTGGAACCAATATGTACCCAGTTACTAATAGTCGTGTGCTGATGCTGGAGCGCAATTACTACTACATACCATTGATCCTCGGGAGAGCCGCTGTGATCGTCGTTCAAGATATGACCCACCTTTCTGTAGGCTGCCTTCCCTCCGTGTCTTCTCTTGCTCCCACCTCCACTGCCCATCCAGTACGCTATCCATGCTCGTATTCTCGCCATCTCCCGCTCTGCGAACAGTTGCCGCCGATGGGACCAGGGGGTTGGGGGGATGCGAGTAGGGAATCGTCAGATCTGAGGCTGGGGGGCGCATGCGCCTTGCGTACACTGACCGCGTGGAGCCAGTGCGCATATCCCGGTATGAATCAAAGTCGAAGAACTGTGCCAGTCAGCCCCTTCCCCGACCCCAATATAAAAGTAGCACTCACGGTAAACTTGACCCCATCCACGTGCGTCTCCCTGTGCGGCCACACTCTGGCAAGAAGATCCCAGCAGGACCAGTCCGAATCCCAGACCTAGCTCCCCCTGTCCTCGCTCGGCTCTCTCGCATATGGCGGATGGACGACCTCGAGCTGCCCTACTTCGTGGGCAGTGTCAGAGGGTGTGGCGGTTGCGGTGTGGTGCATTAACTGGATGACATCCCGCAGCACGCAGATACGTAGATACATAAATCTGCCCCCGTGTCCAGAAGCCGGAAACAGATGCGAAAGGGTCACCCCGTTCCCGCAGGCTGTACGTTGAGAACACGCAGATTCATAAATCTGCGTGATCACGTGAGCATTGCTTCCGGGAGAGCACGCGGAGGCTGCGCCACTAGCACTCATGCATACATGATGTGTACATATGCATCATGTATGCATCTCCTGTCTCTTCCCACATTCCCCCTGATATCATCTAAAACTCCCCACTGCTTCACTTCTAATAATGGCTGATTCACTGATGCTGAATGCACTGAAACAGCTTCTTCATGGATCTCTCATGGCTGAGTACATGAACAATGACATTGCTGTCCAGATCATCTCCTATACGGAGTTGATTGACAACAATGCTAATCTGCTGGACCCACCCTTTATCTGGTATGCCCAATCCCCTATTCAGGATGTGCCCTACTGATGATTTGCACAGCCTGATGGTCAGTGATGGACACAATGTGCTGAACAATTGTGTGGCTGGCCAGTATCTTGTCCCCAAACTGCACCACAGCAAGTTCAAGAACCTCAACATTGTCCACATTTGGGGGGCTCAGAGATGGGTGGCCAACAGTCAGTAAGCATGTTAAGTTAGCCTGTGCAGCCTCAACTTTCCTGACTTCCTAAAAGGATCTCTCTGATCATCACCGATATGATGAGATGGCACTTCCCTGGCCACCTCATCAACACACCCTCCATCATCCCAGGTTGGCAGGATGTGAATGACTGTCAGGGCACCAGCTCATTGCTTGGTCAAGAGACATGACTAAGCCTTTATGACACGGAAGTAGCTGGTATACCTTGGCA